TGATTAGCACACGATCTTCCATGGAGGGCTTTCCATACACTTAGCACAGATCACTTAAGAGAGGTTAGTGAGTGGAATTGAGTATCCTCTGACAAGACTCCAGCCTTAGTAAGCTCTTACAGATAGAAAACATCTGCTTTCTAAGGAGGCTTGTGGTGAATGGAGGGGGAGTTTGTTGGTCCCATTTGTAGCAGAGCACAAGGGAGGTCTGAATTTCATTAGACCTGCAAATGGAAAGTCTCCACATTAGGCACGAGAAGGTAGTTCCATGTAACCAACTTATTTCTAATTGCTAGATATTTAATGACTAATTCTTTGCTGATAGAACACGGGGCAAACATTAGCTGTCTCACAGTGGCCTCTGTGTGGTCACAGACGGGTGGAGAGGCAAAGGGAGTTCTCCAAGGCTGCACAGCAAGTTGGTTGCAGAGCCAGGAGTGAGCCCTCTGCTAACTCCACGGGGCCACTGTCCTTGTCTGTGCTACTTTGGATGTGTTTCAGTGTTGTTGATACAAGCTCCTTTGTTAATGCTAGCAACCCACTCAAACCCGGGGAAGTGTCAGGCATCACTGCCTGCCCTGTGCCTTATCCCATGCATGGCTGGAAAAAAAGAACACATTTCTACATTGCTAGGTGTGAGATGTGCATGCAGTCCTGCCTGGACTCCCTCTGAGGCCTTGAGCAAGCCACACAAGGCCCAGTTTTCAAAGGTGTTAAGCACCTGCCGCTCCCACTGGCTTCAGCTGGGGTTGTGCTGCCTCCGTGTTTCTGAAGATCTGGCCCTTAACTCGTCTGCTTTGGTCTTGCTGTCTGCAAGATGGGGATAATCCTGTGCAGTGCGGTACGGGTGGATGAATGTCTGTCACATGCTAAGGATCCCCTTTGTAGGGAGAAGATAACTTTAATATTTCCTGCCTTATGTGCAAGTCACCAACACCCGACCTCCGTGATCTCCTAGACGTATTCCAGCACTGGTTCACACACCTGCCTGCTCAGTTTCTCTCTTCCCCCGGTGAGCACCTCTCACAGAACCGGCTCAGCTCATCCGAAATTAGCTGGAACTTGTTATTGCCTTATTGGGAGTGTGTGAAAGCTCAGACTGACTTTTCCCAGTCCCTCAGAGGTCACACTCCTGCCCTGTTTAAACAGATGTAAGCACCGACAGAGGAGTGACACATCCCCTATCTGCCCCTTGTGCACACAAGTCACTCCCTAATTTTGCACAAAAATCCACCTCCCCCATCTCGTGTCTAACATGCATTGTAAGCTTATTGGAGCCAGAATTGAGACTTTTGTCTGTAATGTCCTATAGAAATAATGATTATTTTGCCTCTGGCTGCTCATTCCCCTTCATCTATCTCCAGTAATGCCCCTAGGAGCAGCACACATTGGTAGTGGTGGATTGTTTCATTTGCATTTATTTGGACTCTTGTGATTTTTCCTTCCTCTTCTACGGCGTGCCTAAGAAACTAAACAAAAAGGCAGGGTGGTCTTGTGATGCACTGGAGTGGGATTCAGGAGATCTGGCTTCAGTTCCTAACTCTGCCACAGACACCTCCTGTGTGACCCTGGGCAAGTCACTTAGTCGCTGTATGCCTCAGTTCCCCACCTGTGAAGCGTGGAGAATACTTCCTTTTTCTCATCCTTGGTCTACCTGGTTTATTTAGGATTATACGTTCTTTGGGGCGGAGAGTGTCTCACACTAGATATGTGCAGCCTTCAGCACAATGGGGCCTTGCTCTCACTTGGGGCCTCTAGCTGCTTCTTTAATAATTGCTAACAGGCGTCCTTAATCCACTGCCCTGTGTCATTCTAATTCCCCATCATGCAGGGGTGGGGAAGGCCACAGTTACCAGTGCTTGAGAGGCTTGCCCCTTCAGCTGCTGTCACACTGTGAAATGACGCTTTCCCAAGGTTAACCGTGTAGAGTTGGTGTGGTTTGCAGCTAGGAAGGGAAAGCCAATAAACACCCGTGGCTGAAGCAGCCTGCCAGCATTGTTGGATGCTGTGCAAGACTTTTTTCTCCGTGGCTTTAAAATATTGAACACTCGCGTTCAGGGAGAAGAAATATTCCAAGGCTTTAATGGCAGTTAATGATGAAGGTGCAGCACATGTCTTATCATTCATCAGGTGGACCTGTAAACCCGCAACATCGTATTTCTGCCAGAGGAGCACTCCCGAAAGGTCTGCAGGGAGAAAGAAACATTTCTTCAGCTCTGAGGGCACTGGGGGCCTTTCTGGCCCATTCAGTGTGCATTACCCAGCGGGAGGGAAGGCAGATTTCTTGCAGAGATTCTTTTTTTCTTTTTTAGTTTGTCTTAAATTGATGGCAGGTGGGGCCGTAATGAAGATAAACGAGGGGCGCTCTTCCTGGTAGATTAGACCTTGCACAGGTGAACACGTCTGCTACAGCAGCTTTGAAATGCCCTGCGTGGAGTACAAACCCTTCTCCTCCCCTTCACCTGCAGGAATTCCACCAACACCCTTTGGAGAGGAAACAAATCGCTGTGAAAATTGCATAATGTCGGAAACCCAGAGGGGTTTGGAGAGCCCAAGGGGAGGCACCAAAATCTCTGAGATGAACAAACCTGACCTTGAACCAAAGCCTTGCATCAGCTGAGAGAGGCTGGGAGCTGCTGGTGGGCCCTCTAACACCTAATATGAGCACTGTTCAAAAGGGAAACCGCCTCTGCTCCCTCTCCGCTGGCTGCGAGGCCCAGAGTTAAGTAAAAAGGAGATCCGGGGACAATGGCTCTGCACCATGGCCTCGCAGAAGTGAATGCCTCTGCTCCAGTGCACAGTGCGTACATTGTTGTGTGCCCCTGAATCTGCTGCTGTTGTGTGCCTGTCAGGTAGGGAACTGCTTCTGAAATGGCTTGTTCTTAACTGGGATGAAACGCGTGAGTGAAGATCGCAAAGCGAAGGTGTTCAGGCGCCTCTGCCTGGCTTTTGGAAGAGGCAGGTTTAAAATCTGGCCTTGATAAAGCAAGGTTGAGAGAAGACTTTGTCCTGCCTGTCTAAAGGACACATCAGTGCCTGGAGGCACCAGCCTTTTGGGCAGTGGAAACCCAGCGCACACGGTGAAAGCAATTTCATCCATCACAGGAGTTCAGCAGGGGCTGGTAACGCGCTGCAGTTACAGACTGGATGTACCATCTTGTAGTACTATGAAATGTCCCCTCTAGTCCGTGTTCACACACAAACCCATCCAGTGCTGCACTGGCCCTGCTCTGGGCCTCTAGGCTGGCCGAGGGGCGAGTCCTTTGCCACTGCATTTCATACAAGACTAGTTCCAAGTTTCAGCTCATTACCTTGTCTATATGAAAAGGATTCAGCAAGGGCCAGACGGGGAACCCCTTCCACCCCTGGGCAGCCCACGCCAACTTGCCACGCAGAGGAAGGGATTCACAGCTCGGCTCACCAGCAAACGGTTTCGATTCCTGGGATGAGTCTAGGTAAGCTGGTTCCCCCACTACTTCAGCCTAGTAACTCCCGAGGCAGAGCGGGGTAAGATGACAGTCCAGAGCAGGAGCTTCATTCCGAGCCGTGAAACAGCACAGGCATGGATTAAAAATAATCATAAAAAAATCCCTTTGCTTTAATCCCTCCCTGCCCCGCTTCTGCTGGCTGCATCTCTAACTGCCTAGTGCTAGAGGAGGCTAATCATCAGAGAGTTTTCCCAGTTCTCTTAGGCGTGGTGGAAATACAAAGAGGTGCAGAAAGGACCCCCCAATTTTTTTTGAGATGGAAAAAAATGTAAATGTTGAATTGTCCATTGCCATGGAAACCAGTGAGCCATGTTTCCAGGGAAGTTGGATTTCATTCCAGTTGCTTTAGGTTTATGACACCCTTGCAAACTTGCATGAAAATGTCCAGGTTCAGGCACACCGTTTACTCACCTGCCCTTCAGCAGAATGATTGATCATGGAAAACCCAGTCACACTTTAGTCAGCCATCAAACAAGCATGACTCGCCCTGGGCAAATAGGGAAGCAAACTTGGGGAGGAGAGTTTAGAGGCATCCTTAACCATTTGATTCAGTATCATGGCATTTCATATATATTGCCTTTAAAGGACTTGTATAAAATGACACAAAAACGAACTATATCTGTATCCCAGTAAATAAATACACTACTGTAAACCCACCAGGCGGGAGGGGAATGTGCATCGGACACACTAAATTACAGTTAACTCCTAAGGCACAATACTGTCCAAGCAAGGGTGCATACTCTTGAGAGTTGGACACCACAAATGGTGGGCCAGTCTATACGCAAAAATTACATTGGGTTAGCTACATCGGTTTCTGAACCAGTTTAGTTACACTGGTGCGACCTGCTTGTTAGGAAAGTCTTAAACCAGCTCAGAGTGGCTAACAAATCAACGTAAAGCACCCTTAAACCAAATTCTCTGCACTCCAAGGCTGCGCCGATTGAACTATACTCATTCAGAAACGTAGGTAGTTGGTGCAATTTCTGTGTGTAGACCAGGCCTAATTTAGGGCTTGTGGTGATGGGGGGCAAGGGGTGGTGTGTGTGGGGTGGTAACAAGTATTTTTTTCTATCAACTTGAATTTCGGTCAATAATAAAGTTTCAGCAACTCAGCAAAGATCTGGAGGCTAACCTAGTACTTGGTCTAGCACTGTGCAGTCAGGCGGCTTACACAGAGAACTGCCTGCCTATAAGGCAGCCAGCGGTAGAGACAGGAAGCTCTAACTAAACTATTGTTCTGTTCTGGTGGGACATGTCTGGCATGCTGACGATCTTCATGGAAAGCCAAGAATGATCATTTCAGGGGGTTGTGGTGGAAATTTCACTGGAAGACTGCACCATCTGCCAGCCTACAGGCTTTAAACAGAGTGGGGAAGCAGGTCGGCTTCTATATTGGAGACTGTGAAGAGAAGCTCTCGCTCCCAGTCACACGTGTAGTAATGCACAAAGCAAAGAGCGTTGGTTTCTGATATAGGTTTATAATGAATTTTATCTTAAAATAATAAAGCAGTATACACAACATACAAATGAGTTTTACAAAGAGCCACTGTTATATTAGTTTACTTTAAAACCTACCAGTCTCTTCACAGACTCTTTGCTCTCTTTCTCTCTCTCTCTCTCTCTCTCTCTCTATGGATTTTTTCCCCCCTTTAGTAGTTAATCAGATTTTGGGTGACAATTTGCAACTCTGCCTGTCATCTTCATTGAGGAGTGGAAGAAAAGTCCACTTACAAAGAGTTGCTCTTGTCAGCTCCTGTCTATAGTGCAGCCGTGCATTAACGTGCTGGGTCTGTTTGAGACCATCGAGTTCCTTGTGGCTTTGCAACATCCTTCCTTGGGCCTCGCAAAAAACAAAGCAAAGAAAGAGAGCTTTCTGCAAGGATTTCATAGTTTGCTCTAGGTTGGTGACGGTTGTTTTGGGGGGTTTTTTTTGGTTTTCCTGGTGAAATTTAATTGATAGCAACAAAATTCTTTAGGGACACGCAGGGATCAGTCACCCACGTTCCGATGATCGGTCTCAAGTTCGTAAGCAGCTGCACTGACCTTTGGCAAGACGACAATGGGCAGAGGAAGCTTCACAGTTTAAGCAATGATTGCAGACTCCTTCTAGGGAAGGGGACAGATTTGCTGAGCAGTTGGAAGGGTCCACGGTATCTCCTGGGAAATGTAGTCCTGTCGTTAGTGCTTTGCAGAATTAATTAAATAAAAGCCATGCAGCTGAACTACAGCTCCCGGAATGCCATGGCCCATGGGGCACGGGTCGTGCGTGAGTTTGTTTTTCCCTCTCTGGTTCCTGTCTCCTCAGGTTTGGTCTAACCACTCGGCCCGCTTCGGTGCTTTACACGTGTGCACGTCAACAGTGTCCTCGCACTCCTTGCAGCGCACAGCGCAGCACCAGTGGAACTTGCACTCGCACTTGGTGATACGCGTGACGCGGGTGGTGTCATAGCCCCGGCCACAGCACATGACCTCGCAGCCATCGGTCCCACGGGACAGCTTATTGCACACACGACCCGCCGTCCCCAGGGAACCTGTAGGAAGGAAGCAAGGGTTCATTACACTGTCCCGCTCAATCTCGCCATGAATGAAAACACACCATTGTAACATAAGAACATAAGAACGGCCCTACTGGGTCAGACCCAAGGTCCATCCAGCCCAGTATCCTTCCAACAGTGGCCAATGCCAGGTTGCCCCAGAGGGAGTGAACAGAACAGGGAATCATCAAGTGATCCATCCCCTGTCACCCATTCCCAGCTTCTGGCAAATAGAGGCTAGGGACACCATCCCTGCCCATCCTGGCTAATAGCCATTGATGGACCTATCTCGTTCTTTTTATCTAGTTCCCCTTGTATAGTTTTTGGGGTGATTTTCCAGGCATTGCTATCAGGGGCTCTCTGAAACCAACTACTGTCCATCTAGACTGTAAGGTCTTTGGGCCAGGGCCTGCCTGTTTTGTTCTCTGTCTGTACAGCACCTCACGTGATGGGACCAGGTCAGGATTGGGGGGCCACTAGGCCCTACTGCAATATAAGTTGGAGAGACTGAGTTTAAACACATGCTGTTTTAGCAGTGCATGAACTCCTAATTTACTGTTTTTACATGGTAGGTTCTTGGGTGCAGGGATCGTACTGTGCCTTGTGGGTCAACAGCAGTATGTTTATAGATCTATGGACCAATTGTCTTTCTGCCTTAGCATTCAGCTCCCTCGCCCAGAGGGGACGTGAATCCTTACACAACAGCCCCAGGTCTTTTTATGAAATGCAGAGCACAATTTTCTGTATACATTTTCAACCAGGCCCCATCCTTGAACCATGTTTCATTTGTGTCCTGTGGCTCAGAACTCACAGGGCAGATGGGTTCAGAAATAGAGACGCTTTGCCCCGAGCTGCTCTGAGCGCTGGCCCACATGGTGGAGCCTGGTCATACAAAGTGGCCTGCCTTAAAGTCCCTGATCCCGTGATAGCCCCATAAGCAAAAGCACAAGCGTGGCATCTACTGGCTAGTGCTCAGGAGTCATTGGGGCCCAATTCCCCGTGGCCCTGCACCTCAGGCTGATGATTAGACCAGTGCAACGTGGGTGGGAACCACTGCCACATTGGCACGGTAACATTCCCCACTCACTCTCCACTGGTGTAAATGACTGCACCAGGCGCAGGGAAATGGGGAATTGGTTCCCATAGATGAGGGCCTCTGCCTGCATGGACATAAATGGTATCAGCTAAGCCCCCTAAACAGCAGCAGAGAAATACCCAGTAATGCATGCTTTAAACAACACAGGGAGAGCCGAGGGGTCGCTCAGGCCCCAAACCACACCTGCATGCTCTTCCCTATGTCTGTACGGTTCCTGGAATTCTTGGGCTCTAGTTTTCCTAGCACAAACCCCTCGCATTCCCATTTTGGGGGCAGTGTTGTGTGCAAGTGCCCGTGTCAATGGAGAGCCTTTCCTCTCCTGCGGGGTTTCTGTTGGAGGATGTGGGGGGGTCTGGGCCCTGAGGTCACATCTTCTGTCTAGTATCAGACGAGTTCAGACCTGCCCTGGCTGAGGTCAGGTCTCTGAGGGGAAAGAGGCCCCAGTTTGGTCTCTAGCAGCCGCTCTGAGCCATCTAGCCATAGCTGAGGGACCGAGCTGGTGAGGGACAGGGACCTTCAGCCTTGCTGATCAGGCCTTATTCAGACAGGCCTTTGGTTTCTGGGGAATTGGGGCAATGTACTGAGTAAATTCTTTCTTCTTCTGGCCTCTCCCTTGGATCCAGTTCAGGGGTTGTCTAGACACAAACCGGCCCCCTTTCACCTCTGTCTGACACGTGAACCGGTTTAGAAATGGCTGATCTTGCTTTTGCCTAAACCAGCTCAAGCCAGAATGGTTGAAGCCACTTCTGCCTTGGCAGGAGCTTGTGTCAGTTTAACGAACCTGATGGAAGTGTGTATCTACACCAGCCCCGTGCTCCTGGTTTCAGCAGCGAATGCTCGCCAGGTGTCTGAACATTGGGCACTGCTGAATCCCCTCTGGAGCTGCAGGCTGTGCTCATCCTAGCATCAGTGTCTGCGCTGCTCATCAGCTTCACACAGGGCTGCCCAGAGGATTCAGGGGGCCCGGGGCAAAGCAATTTTGGGGGCCCCTTCCATAAAAAAAAAGTTGCAATACTATAGAATACTATATTCTCGTGGGGGCCCCTGTGGGGCCCGGGGCCTGGGGCAAATTGCCCCACTTGCCCCCCCCTCTGGGTGGCCCTGGCTTCACAGCACGACAGGCCAGACTCAGCCAGCTGGCTTCGGGGACTCTGTACTGCTCAGGCCGGGCCTAGGGAAGCAGGTAGCACCGGGAGAGTGGTGGTAGCAGAGCGGTGCTAACTCGTGCTCGGTGATTTCTAGTATCCAGCAAAGGCGGTAACGCAGGCTTGTCTATTCTGCTGGAATCCTCCTGCCTGTGTGCCTTGCCAGCTGGTGTGAGGGAGGAGCAGGGAGAGTCTGCAGGGAGAGGCATATAAAATAGCAGGCCCAGGGTTTAGAGGACTCCTGGGCTCTCAGCTCTGCCACGGCACTCATTCTGCCGCTGCCTCCCCACCAGTACAGCGGGAAAGGATCAGGCCCGCGGGTGCTGCAGGGGTTCGTGTGTTTAATGCTCTGTGGGTCCCTAGGGAGGAAGAGGCTACAGAGGGTGGAATCTGATGAACAGCCCACGCGCACAGGCTCCTCTGAGCCGGGACCGGCACACGCTTTCCAGGCCGCCGCTCCTGAGACAGCAGGCTGGGCATGGTGCCTCCCCACGGAGGGGACCCTCTGGCTGGGCCCCTTCAGGGGGGCTGGATGTGACTTTCTCCTCAGAGCTACTCCCCAATTCTTGAATCATTTCTGTCACTGCTACCTTAGCCCCTCTTGCTGCCCTGGGGACCGTCCTCGCACTTCTATCTGTGCGCTCTGTATGCACAACCAGGGCCGGCCCTGGGCTCGCGCTCTCTGCTGCTCCTTTGGAAAGCGCTGCATGCCCGGGGTGATTTCCAAGCTGCCTTTCCTAGCCCAGAGCCTTCCGGCTGCACTGGCCCATCAGCCAGACCCTCACGGCAGCTCCTAGTGTGTGAGAGGTGGAGATTTGGAAGCAACCTCCTAAAATGGCTGAAACTCTCCTATTAAACATCCCCTCAGCTTTGCTGATCTTCCTTCCCCACCCCACCCTCTGTCCGTGCACTAATCCGTTCCCTAGCCCAGGTACAGGCCATGGATATCCCCCTCCCACCCCCCTCTCGTCTTCGCAGTTTGGCTCTGCATTCCCTGGGTTTGCTCTCTCCCTGTGCCTGGCCCTGTCTCCCCTGGGGTGTGTTACTCTGAGCTGGATGGAACACGCAGCCAGCCCTCCCTTGAGGCAGGTATGCAGAGAGCTCTCCCCACTAGCGTGTGTCAAATTCCCTTCACTTGTGGTTTAATTATCCTGTATGACGGCTGGAGAGGCCAAGTACTAGGAACAAAGGTTTATACACAGCAGGAAGCTACTGGACCTGGGACCTGTACCAAGGCATTGGCAGACAGCTGGGCAGGAGACAGTTGGCTTGAGTGTCCAGTTAAGTGGCCCTGGCCAACCCCTATTTAGAAGTGGAAATGTCTCACTCCAGTTGTGAGGCCCTCTGCAGGGCTAACGGCCTTTGCAGAGCCGGTGCAGCTGCCAGTGAACTGGCATGGCTGCTCTTACCCCACACCGCCTGGAAGTCCAGGCTTCTCTGGTCGCACAAAAAAGAAAAAGAAAAAGAAAAAAAAGGACCGTGGCCTGCTGCTGCTCTGAAAACCCCATGTAAAGGTTTGTTCATTGCTCTCTGCAATGGTTCAGGTAGGTAAGGGAGACTTTGAGTGATTGAAGATCACTTTGGAAGATTCTGCTCAGCTTTGCCCTGGTGCAAATGAATGGGGTTACTCTGGATTAACACCAGTGTAAGGGTCAGTCAGACAGGCTGACTCCCAGCATCTGAAATGGAGACAGAGTTTAGATAGGACTAGTTTAAACTTGCAGATTTAAACTAGTGTAAATGGTGAATTCTCTGTAACTTGAAATCTTTAAACCATGATTTGAGGACTTCAGTAACTCAGCCAGAGGTTAGGGGATATTTCAGGAGTGGGCGAGGTTCTGTGGCCTGCAATGTGCAGGAGGTCAGACTAGATGATCATGATGGTCCCTTCTGACCTTAAAGTCTATGATTCTAGTGGTGGATGCAGCATGGCTTAGTGGGAAGAGCGAAGAACTGAGGGCACGTCTTCACTACCCGCCGGATCGGCGGGTAGCAATCGATCTATTGGGGATCGACTTATCGCGTCTAGTAAAGACGCGATAAAATCGATCCCTGATCGCTCTGCCGTCGACTCCGGAAATCCACCGCGGCAAGAGGCGGCAGCGGAGTCGACGGTGGCGCGGCAGCGGTCGACTTGCCGCCATCCTCACAGCCAGGTAAGTCAACCTAAAATACGCAACTTCAGCTACGCTATTCACGTAGCTGAAGTTGCGTATCTTAGGTCGACCCCCCGCTGTAGTGTAGACCTAGCCTGAGATGACTCCTGGGTTTCCAGTTCTGTCCTCTGGTTCACTGCGAGACCTTGGGCAAGTTCTGAGTGAAGTTACTTCACTTCTCTGCTTCAATTCCCCCTTCAGTAACACAGGGTAATACTTACTAGAGGGGGTTGAAATTTTGTCAAAAAGAATGGTTAGTTTTTCATTTAAAACTTATTTTTGACAAATTTTCATGTTTTCATTGGGGGAAAAAAACAAACTTTTGGGTGTTAAAGTGAAAATGTGTTAGATTTGGGGTTTTCATTTTTTTATCAAACCCCTCTCCCTCTGGGGGAGAAGAGGGAATTTTTTCCTGACCAGCTCTCCTCACTTCCTGTTATGCGGGTTGCTGTTTGTACAGTGCAAAGCGCTTTGTGAGGCTCTGATGGAAGGCGATCGTGTAACCCACACACCTGGGTGGGGTGGTCTGTCCCATCCAGTGGCACCGAGACCACTTAGAGAGAGATAAATGAGTCTGCTGTACAGCCTTAGTTAACTAGGGTGACCAGACAGCAAATGTGAAAAATCGGGATGGGGGTGGGGGGTAATAGGAGACTATATAAGAAAAAGACCCCAAAATCGGGACTATCCCTATAAAATCAGGACATCTGGTCACCCTGTAGCTAACAGCCAATTGGCTTTTAGCTCATGCGATACAGGTTCATGCACTAAGCTCCAGAGATCCCAGGTTCAGTCCCGCCCGACAACAACTGGGGTCTGTTGGTGTTACACTAGTGCCGTGTGTGGGTTTAGTACTCAGTTTTTGGGACACATTTTAAACAAACCCTCCCAAAAAAGCAAGACTGAAAATTTGCCTCATTTGAGTCTATTTTCTGACTGACTTCACCGTTCACGGCCTGGCCAGGACGTCAGGGCATGTCTACGCTGTAGCTGGGGGTGAGCCTTGCAGCCCAGGTTGGCAGATTGTCTGCACAGCATTTTGGAGCCTGTGGCAGCGAGCCTCCTGCCTCAACTCCACAGACTTGGGCTAGCACTGTAAAGACAGCTGTGTAGACAGCCGCGGCTCGGCCTGGAGCTGGGACTCTGACACCTAGGGATGAAGGCGGGCTGGAGAGCCTGAGCTCCAGCCTGGGCCATAATGTCCACACTGCTATTTTTAGCAGGCTAGCTCAGTGCTTGTGTGTGTCTCTGTCATCCGGGGCCGGGAGTCTCGCTCCCAGCTGCAGTGTAGATGCACCCGCCGAGTCCAGCCACAGGGCCCTGCAGTGCATGGCTGCAATCGCAATGGAATTCCAGTTGTGTGATTAATAAACCATGTGGCTATTTGGTTTTAATTTGCTATGTTGTTAGTGTTTATTAGAACTAGTTGGAAAACGAGTAGTTGTGAAACGCTTTTGAATTCTTTTGCTGTTTTTTAGAATTTTTTCACAAATTAAAAATTCAGACCCACTGCTCAAAAACCCCCAAATGGTAAAAAAAATTGTTCAACAAAATTTAAGTTTTTTAATATTAACCTGTCTGAAGTTTGTGTGTGTGTGTGTGTGTGAGAGAGAGAGAGTGAGTAAGTCAGGTCTGAATATGCCCTGGGCCTGGCTTGATGATTCTTTTGTTCCTCTTTGTGAGTTTAACTGTACAGGCATGTCTGAAGTGGCCCTGGCTGGCTCTGAAGGTTACACAAGGGCAGGGGTGGCTCCAGGCACCAG